TTGTAAGAAAAAAGAGTTTTGAACATTAATTTTTAGAAGAATGTGTGGTTAAAAAGTATGAATATTTTTTTGGTATATTTATATAATATTTTATTATGTGAATGTGCAGTTAAAAATGATCCTGAAACAAACCATAAAATAAATTAATGGCAGTCAAATACTATGCGAGCGATATTATAATGGATGAATGCAAGGGAATTCGAGGTCTCAATACTTTGTTCATTAGAATAGAGTATTCATAAACACTTTCCAACCACTTAGTTAGGTTATTCATTAGTTTAGTTTAGTAGGTTTAGATTTTTATACGAATCAATCTTCGATTAAAGTTAGATTAATTGAAAACTAGATTAAACACTTAGTTTTCGTGGGATCGATGCTCGAATTCACGTCCACTTCTATTACTTGTCTACTATACGAATCAATCTTCAATTAAAGTTAGGTTAATTGAAAACTAGATTAAATACTTAGTTTTCATGGGATCGATACTCGAATTAACGTCCACTTTTATTACTTGTCTACTATACTGTCCACGATCTCTAATCGAATTTTCACACCATAAATAATTTATAATCCATATATAAACAGATTAATAGATAAGCTAATTACCAAAACACAAAAATCTAGTGATTTGATTCTGTGAATCAAATTTGGCGGACAAAGACAGTGAAGCAATGCATGATGATAATGGTGGTTTTTGAGTGTACAAAATTCATCAAAAACAATGGGCAGACAGAGTTGTACCACACTGTGTGCAACCACCAAGGAAATCTTCATTTATTCACTCTCATTTGACTTTAAACATCGATCGTCCATCTACTTGGAAAAGTCTATTCTGGTCCCTCCTTAAGCATGTCTAGCTAAGCCTAACAAGTAAATAAGTATTTACTTATATTGAAGTAATTAATTTTATATTTTTCATTTTTTTCAAGTAACTTGCGCGCTTTCGGATCTAAGGGTTTGTTTCAGCTCCATTTATTGGAGGAATGTATGTTGTAGTAGTAATTTTTTGGAAAATGTATAGTTAAAAAGTAAGAAAATTTTTAAGATTTACGTGTAAAATTCTTTTATTGAGTAAATCTATAATTGAAAAATGAGTTTTTAAAGAATATGGTTTAAACAGGACTGATAACTTTTTACTTTTTAAGAACAAATGCACTCAAAATTGTATTGAAGTCAAATATATTAAATTAAAAAAAAAAGAAAGAAAGAAAGAAAGAAAAGAAAAGAAAAGTTGCTTAAAAGTAATTCGACGCCTAATTAAGTCGACTGTAACATAACTTTCAACAACCTGCCATTGGCCCCATACCACGTGACCAAAAGTTGTGACAAATCAGTACGTATTTAAGCCCATTAGCCACTACTTTAAAAAGGGGATGAAATGTTAAAAATCAAACTCTAAATGCTATTCTCTTTTTCATATAAAGCAAGTGTAATATGAAGTGGAGGCTTTTCTTCTATTTGTGTTGGTCAAACACACACTCAAATTTAATGTTGGGGGGTCTGTTTTGATTTAACTAGACGCCCCACTTCTTCTATATTAATGTGTTGCTAATTATAAAAGAAATTTTTTTTGAAAAAATAATTAGTTGCAGTATCGTGCAGAACAATAAAATACAGAAATAAGACTTATCGTCCGATGGAGTCTCGTGACAGCACGATATCCTAAAGTGAAATTGTTCGTCGATAATTGCTGATACCTCCGTGGATAATCACTCCCGAAATATAACGATCATAAACCATTTGTGCAGTAATCACGAATGATTTTTTAGAACTCTCAAATGTACTCCAAAATATATGTAAAAAATCGAGTGTAAAAAATTCAGAATATGAGAAATATGATTTTCGTTTAAGATGATTTTCTGTTTTATTTTATATGTATTTTTTCCAAACCAAGACATGAGTTTATATAGGCAAACTGGAAGTAACTGTCTCCTCCATGATTAGAGAATTATGCAGAATTTTAATGACTTTGTGAGTAGCGGGTTGTTAAAAAATGGTCATAAAATACTGGCTAGTTTGACCAATTAAATAATTTCGAAAATAAATAAATAAATAAATTTTATTTTAGTCAAGGAAGCCCAAAACCTCAATCAAAGTCTTTTTAATAATTGCGTGGGGAGTGACCTAAACCCCCGACGTCCCACACAAATGTCACATTTCCCACCACTTGGGCACTTCATTTAAACTGATTATTTCTTTCCATTTTACATTTATAGTATAAATATATAACAATCCCCCACGTGAAAGAAATAAGATATATGAAAGTATTACTCTGGAGTACGGTAGAAATCATGCAGGCTTAGGTGTCTATTGACTTGAACCTTGACTTTGTATATTCTTTCGAACTTGCTAACTGTACAGTGAACTATATCTTAAACTCTACAATTATAGTTGGAAATCGAGACAATAGAACACACACATGACTTCTAAAACAATCATGAGTTCTCGTGGTTGTGTTAATTTCGGCCGTGAACTTTTCCAATTTCTTTGAGTGCTCTAAAGAATTAGCTTCAATTCTCATAGGAAGCGGCCCACTTCCATAATTAAAAAGGTGCTTCTATCAAGGGTGCACTGTAACTAAACATCCTACTGAATATCAACTATAGTAAGTATTAAGAGCATTAGCTCATCTTCTAATCAATACAGTTGGTACTACGCATCATAGGAATGGGTTTGAAATAAATTCAATGTAGTACCCCCACAGAGAATTTCAATAACTTTGTTGTCCCATTGAACCTTGACCATAGGATCTTCAATCGCAAGGTTGGGTTTCCGTTATATATGATCTAACATGTAATAGGCTTTTGCCCCATCCCTCTCGATGTTTTTTGAACTAGCGGTCAACGATATTATCACCTGACTTCACATAGTCAATAGCTATAACTTCATCCTTAAGCAGCTGACACACAGTATTGTGCCTCTTACGAACATGTCTAAACTTTCCATTGTAGGACAAATTTTGGGCTCTTGAACTAGCTGCTTGAATGTCACAATGGACAGAAATAGTTGGAAATGGTTTAGACCACATAGGAACATCCATAAGAAAATTCCTTAACCATTCAGCCTCTTCACCTGCCTTATCTAAAGCTATGAACTCAAATTTCATAGTAGATTTAGCAATGCAGGTTTGCTTAGTGGATTTCCAAGATACAGCACCGCCTGCTAATGTAAATACATATCAACTTGTAGATTTACTTTCATTGGTATCGAAAATCCAATTAGCATCACAATAACCCTCAAGTACAACAGTGAATTTGGTATAATGTATTCCCTAGTCTAGAGTGTATCTCAAATACTTCAAGACTCGAATGAGAGCATCCCAATGTTCATTGTTAGGATTACTAGTATACTTGCTAAGTCTAAGTCTACCGATAACATACACTATATAAGGTCTTGTACAGTTCATGAGATACATGAGACTACCGATTACTATAGCATATTCTAAAGTGGAAACACTAGGACCAAAATATTTTCTCAAACGACGGCTTGCATCATAAGGTACTTTAGCAGGAATAGAGTTGTATTGGTTAAACTTCTTAAGCACATTTTCTACATAATGTTATTGAGTCAAAATAATTCCTTCAAAATGTTTTACTATTTTGATTCCTAGAATAACATCAGCAACACCCAATACTTGTTCAAAAACTGTTTAATTTTATTAACGACATCTAAACTAGTTCCCATAATCATCATATCATCAACATATAAGCAAATTATCACACCACAATTATTTTCAAATTTTCTATATATGCATTTATTTGCTTCATTAATTACATAACCACTTGATGTCAAAACGATATCAAATTTTTCGTGTCATTGCTTAGGAGCTTATTTAAGGCCATAAAAGGGATTTTTTAAGTCTACGTACTTTATCCTCAAGAGCTTCTACAACAAATCCCTCAGACTGGTCTATATAAATCTCCTCTTCTAAGTCTCCATTCAAAAATGCATTTTTGATATCTATTTGATGTATAATAAGATCATACAGTGAAGCAATTGCAATTAACATCCTAATAGAGGTAATCCTGGTAATGGGTGAATAAGTATCAAAGAAGTCAGCTCCTTCCTTTTGTTTATAGCCTTTGATTACAAGTCTTGCTTTAAACTTATCAATCGAATCATTAGGTTTAAGTTTTTTTCTTAAACAACCATCAACACTCAATTGTCTTACATCCTTGATGTAAGTCCACTAACTCCCAAGTATTATTAGATATAATTAAATCATATTTACTATATACAGCTTCCTTCCAAAATATAAAATCTGGTGGAAACATGGCTTCATCAAAAGTACTAGGATCATCCTCTACTAAGTAGGTTAGAAAGTCAGGACCAAAAAAAAATAGTGGTTTTAGGTCTTTTGCTTCTCCTAATTTCAGCTTCTTCTATTTCAGTCGGCTCCTCTCTAACACTATGAGGAATACTAAAAGAATTACTTGGTTCTTCAGACTTTTCTTTAAACGGAAATCTATTTTCAAAAAATCCAGCATGTATTGTTTCCAAAATTGTGTTCTTTTCAATCAAATTATTTTTAGAGTTAATGACTAAAAATCTGTAGCATTACTGTGAAAAGCATAGCCTGTAAAAACACAATCGACAGTTTTCGAACTAAGTTTAGTTCTCTTAGATGCTCGAAAAGAAGCTTTAACTAAACACCCTCACATTTTAAGATATTTATATGTAGGTGTTCTACCCTTCCACATTTTGTATGGGGACTTATTATTTTTCTTACTAGGAATTATGTTAAAAATATAACATGCAATAAGAATGGCTTCCCCCCCACATGTTAAAAGGTAATCTAGAAGAATTTAGCATTGATATGACCATATTCTTAAGAGTCCTATTTTTCCTTTCAACTACATCATTAGATTGGGGAGAATAAGGTGGAGTGGTCTCATGAATAATGTCATTCTCAACACAGGATTTATCAAAATATCCAGTATATTTTCCTCCTTTATCAGATCTTAAAACTTTAATAGTTTTGTCTAGCTGATTTTCTATTTCAGTTTTATATGAAATAAATTTTGAATAACTTCCATCCTTGCTCTTAAGTAGATAAATATAACAATATCGAGAATAATTATCAATGAAAGTTAGGAAATATTTATTTCCACCATGAGTAACGTATCATTTTAAATCACATAAATAGGAAAGTATCAAACTTAAAGTCGAAGTAGTTCTATCAAAATGAGGAAATAGTTTTCTAGCATATTTAGATTCAACACATGTTTCACATTTTGAATTTGAAAAATGATCGATTTTGGGAATGTTTCACAAATTCATTAATTTTTTAATGGAAATTTTATTAACGTGTCCAAGTCTAGCATACCACAAATCATAAGAATCCAACAAGTAAACAAAATAATTAGATGCTTTATTATTAATCACAAAAAATTGAATTTAAACAGACTCTCATCCATATACCATTTCCTAACAAAGGAAACACCCTTAGACAACACAACTTGACTACTCTCAAATACATTCTTAAATTCCTTTTTGACTAAGATAGATCCAAATACTAGATTTTTTTCCAATATCAGGTACATAAAGGACATCCTCCAAATTAAGGATATTTTCGAAAATAAATCTAAGTGTCACAGTTCTTTTCCCCTCGATTTTAGAGGAGGAAGCATTCTCCATGAATAGACATTTTCTATCATTAAAAGGAGTGAATAAAGAAAATGCACCTCTCGTGCAACAAATGTGTTTGGTAGCTCCAGAATCTACTCACCAGTCTGTCATGTTGCTCACTAGATTCACTCCTGTTACCACAACAGAAAAATTCTCATCCTCTACCACATGTGCTTGATTCTTGATAGCTTTTTTTTTTCCTGTTTCTGCAACCTTTGTAAAGTGATCTGGTTTATTACAAACAAAACAGTCACTAAAAATTTTATTTTTAAATTGGAGTTTAGACCGATTGTTCTTTCCTACAAATTGCTTTCTCTTGTTTTTGTCTTTAAAATTTTGACCCCTGATAAAATTTCCAAATGGTCTCTTACTGCTAGAATTTCCTTCAATAAGATTAGCTTTGGTATCAAAATTTGGCCTTTCCCTACGTTCTGCCATTCTCTCGTCCTCCTTAATTCTAATCCTGATAATCAGATCCTCTAAGGACATTTATTTTCTCTTAAACTTCAAACCGTTTTTATACTCTTTTCAAGAAGGTGGCAATTTTTTAATTATAACAGACACTTAAAAACTCTCATAGATTTTATATCCTTCTGCAATAATTTCGTGAATTATAATCTGTAATTCTTCAACTTGATTGGCCACAGTTCTAATGTCACCCATTTTAAGATCTAGAAACTTTCTCACAACAAATTTCTTGGTTCCAGTATTTTCTGTAGCATATTTATTTTCTAAGGAATTCCATAATTCTTTTCCAGATTTACACGACCAATAAACATTATATAAATCTAACGTCAAACAATTCAGAATACAATTCCTACACATATAGTACTTATGTTCCTAATTAGCTAAATCATTTATTTCCTTATCAGTAGGCTTATCAGCAATTGCAAAAACGGGTTTATCAGATTCAATAGTATCAACGACTTTAAGAGTTGTCAAATAAAATCGCAGTTTCATTTGTCATCTCTTAAAATTTTTTTCATCAAACAATTCAGTTTTTCAGAATACTTAAGAATAGATATATCTACAGCAGTAATGACAACTAATTATAAATGAATTTCACTTTAAATTGTTGGAAAAATAATCAGTTGCAGTAACGTGCAGAACAG